TGTATCTACCTCTCCTAAGTCTATTGAAACAAAGAGAATAATGATAAATGTCCTCTCACTCTCATCCTATTCTCTCTAACTCTTTCAATCCAAACTCACCCTAAACTTTACAAAAGAAAATAATGATTTGTTTTCCAAGAAACTCTAAGAAAATTGTTAAGTAAAAAAATTTCATGTGCAACAAATAAGCATATATATGGGCTATGTATATACGAGGGCTACTCCACCTTATGAGCCCACATCTATAATTTTCATATAATATTAAAGTATAGTATCAGTTCTGTTTTTCTGAAAAATTTATTATTTACCCATCAAATATAACCTAAAATTCATGTCAAACTTGTATGTGAGGAGGTGTGTTATATAGAAATTAAAATACTACATTGAGTTTATAACAAAAAAAAGTATATAAATTAAATATAAGGAAGTCAAAGCAGCTCACATGCATCATTTTCACAAAAATTAACAAGAAAAAAAACGTGACTCCATTCAAAGGAAAGGAAATTTCTTAGGGAATGAATGTTGCTGAATACTCCAGTATCTCCTTTATTCATCTCCACGACCTTCACCTAATGCGCCTCTGCCCTTCACCTACGTCCCTAATCAGAGCCCGATTTGTGAAGCTTCCTCTTTGGAATGACATTCTATCGTAAATTTGGGGTTCCAAACTGCTACCCTCATCCTTCGATGCCAACCACATGAATGCAGACGCCATTGAAGTTTTCAGATTCATGACGTGGATCGGATGTCATCTTCGATTGTCAATTTGTGGAATGTCGATGAGTTGTGCTGGCATATTGCCTTATGGCTGGGTTGGAATAAAAGAGATATCATGGGAGAGAGTCAAAGAGGAAGATAGGGATAAAATATGAAAATGAAATTTTATCCACTTGATCCCATGGGAGGTCTATTATTTTTAAATTACTGTGGGATAAAACTTACCTCGTCTTCTAGTTCTACTAAACACTACTACACTATGTGATACAATGAGATGAGAAAATTTTTTTGTCCTATCCTATTGTTTTGTCTAGACTCCCAAATGTGTAGGGATGGCAATTTTCTCCGAGACCTGCAGAATTTTGTGGAGATCCCTATTGTGAAGATGGAAATTTTAAGAATATTCTTTCGTGGGGTGAAGATAGAGGTATTTTTTTCCTTGCAAAGTTTCATGGAATTTCCTTTATATTGTGGAGATTCATGGAGATTTGTATATAATAAAAAATATATAAATTTATTATTACATATATATTTGTAAATTTATTACGAATTAATTTTTATTCACTAAACTCAATTGGTTAACCCAACCCAATCTAAATTGCCTAACTTAATTCCTTTTCTAGTTCGATGCATTTTTATTTTTTATGAACTTACTATTGGACTTGTTGGATGTGTATGATAGTATATATTTGTTGCAATTGATTACTGTATATTGCTTTGCTGCATAGAACGTTAACGTATTTACTTGTTCGAGTTGTTTTAAATTTTTATTTTTTTTATTTATAAAAAAAAAATAAATTCTACATATTTAATACTTGACAAGGACTCCGCATATCCATGGGGACCTATCATTCCTCATAGGTATAAGGATGGAAATCATTTTTGACACTCCACCAAAAATCCCTATGGGTATTTTCGTACCCGCCATTCGAGGAGATGGGGATGGAGAGGGGATGCCTGCCCCCATGGGGACACATTGCTATCCCTACAAACATGTTCTCATGGTTTAGGTAGTGTCAAGATAACTTATATATCCAAGCAAGAATCCCATTCCCATCAAATTCCAGTGAAAATTCCAATAATTCATGTATAATTAACACATTTGAATCCCATTCACAAATATATATATATATAAGAAAATGATTGATACACCCTTTGATTCAATATATTTTTTAACATACTCTAGTTTAGTGATTAAAAATATAATATAAATACAATCAATTTAACCGAATCTAATATCTTGTGCGTATGATTGTATTATTAAACTTATTTGTTTTTAATTTTAAACAAAAAAATAATTATTTTTTAATAAATGTATCATGCAGTGTGTTAAACCGGAGTGTATACTAATCACTGTCTATATATATATATATATATCCAAACAAAAAGCCCATTCCCCAGCAAATCCCATTTACCTATATACATCCAAGCAAGAATCCAAAAACGTATGTAACACGTTCGAATTCCATTCATATATGTATCCAACCAAGAAAGAATCCCATTCCCAGCATTTCCAAAAGAATCCAATACTCTACCAACGATGCCAAATCAGTTCTTTTACTTAAAGTGGAAGCTTTTAAACTATTCTATTCTCGGAATGGTGATAACTGACCTTTGTTTGTATTTTTGTGTCAAATCAGTCCTTTTACTTAAAATAGAAGCTTTTAATCTTTGTTTGTATTTATGTGTTTTTTCACTGAAAAGATATCATGCGGGTCTGATAAAGTGCCAGCTAATCGTTGAAATAGGTGTAAAAAATTGTTAGCCTGTTCTTTTTTTTTTCTTCTTTTTTTCTTTTTTTAAGAAAAACAAACTTATTTTATTACGAGTACAAGCTACTCAAACCACAAACATTAATATGTAAAACTAGAAGCAGATAATAGGGACAAAATACAAAAAACAAAAAACAACCCTAACAAAGAACTTAGAATCCAGCTCCCCATCTAACCTCTATTTCCTATT